TGAGCAACTTATACAAAATTTACAGGTCCAAGGAGTCCTGGGACTCCTTGTGCTATGATTTATTTATTACCAGGTTCCCAGAATGATTCAGTCTCGGCGCGACCCCCGGGCGGCTTCCCCGGCCCGGGCCTCCCCCCACCCCCGCGAGGCTTCCCGGGGGTCGAGGTCTGCAGGCCGCCGTCCTGGTGCTCCCTGACCCCCGAGACCTGAGGGTCACCAAAGCCCGCGTCTCACCGACCTCGAACCCACGCCGGGGCGGTTGTGCGAGGCCTTTGGCTTCCCCCTTCCTCCTCAGGAGGAATGAATGCTTAATCACCCGCTCCAGGGTTGGTTTGGTCAGGGTGCAAGGCCTTACCATCTTCTCCTTCCTTGTCCCTCCCAACCTTCCTACAGCTCAAGAACCATTCTCCCTTCTGCCAGAGGACTTTTGTACAGGCTGACCCTATCCCCAGCAGTGTCCTCTGCTGCCTTTTTTTTTTGGGGGGGGGGGGTTGGGCCTAGATGCTGGGCCTGAGCTCAAGGTTAGCCACAGCACCACTTCTGCACCCCCCCAGCAGTTCGTTGGAGATAAGAATCTCATAGATTCTTGTCCAGGCTGGCTTTGAACCCTGATCCTCAGATCTCAGCCTCTTGAGTAGCTTGGATTACAGGCATGAGCCACCAGTGACTGGCTCTCATCAGCTTTCTTATCTGAGGAAGTCCACCATCCAGCTGTTTGTTCAACAGCAACATTAGAAAGCCAAATTTCCCCGAGTCCCCAGCTGCCTTAGGGGGACAGAGCACTGAAGATGATCATCCCTGGTTGGCTCAGAGGACAGCCCGATAAGTTGTATCAAAGAAAGGACAGGGAAGGGGGGAGGATGGATCTGAGGGAGGAGAGGTCCTGACCTGGGCTTTGGAACTTACTCAGATCCCAAGGAGGAGATCAGGCGGGGGTTCTAAGAGAGGAAGACTCAGTTTATTAAAAACATGGCTCTAAACTGTATTCCCCTTCTAAGAATGACTGCTTATATCTCTGTATATAATTTTTTATTATTTGGTTGTTATAAAGATGCATAAAAACACGTTGGGGAAAATCTTTTTTCCTGAATGGGAATAATGAATATTTTCTCCTGGCTTGTCATTTTTCTTTTTTGCCATACAGATTTGTGTTTTAGAACCTGCTGTTTTTCTTCTTGGATCTGTAAATTTAGTTGTATTAATTGAATGTCACTATAATGAAATGTTATGGTAAGGAAATAAGTAGTTATTGAGACAGCTAATATAAAAAGTTTAGTTTTGGCACATAGTTTGGCGGGTCCAGCCGCGATGAGGCAGATACTGCTTTGGGCTTCTGGTGATGATGCCAGAGATGAAAGGAAGTATGTAGGAGTGTAAACCCACTTTTATCATGAACTCAGGAGTAAACTAGAGGAAACGTGGGAGGAGCTGTATAGCCCCATAATCCTTTTTGAGAAAACAGTAGCAATTCTTAATCTCAGTTCCTGGATGTTCTGGTAGTTGCTTGTTCTGTTCCAAGGCAAGTGCTGATGATCCAGCCGGTGTCAGTGGGTCTAACAGCTGTCATGAGCCAGTTGAACGACTCCTTTCTGACAGTTTTGGCTATTTATTTCCGTCATGGGGCTTGAACTCAGAACCTAGACACTGACCCTGAGCTTTTGTGCTCAAGGCTAGTGCACTATCACTCTGACTCACAGCTCCACTTCTAGATTTTGGGTACATAATTGGAGATAGTCTAATGGACTTTCCTGCCTGGGCTGGCTTTGAACCGAGATCCTCAGATCTCTGCCTCCTGAGCAGCTAGAATTATAGGCATGGGGCACCAGCGCCTGACTAGCTTTGGTAGTTTAAAGTGTGTGTGGCGGAGAATTAGTGCTTGCAACAAAGATCTAAAATTAGCATTCTTTCTCCAGCAAACTTGATCTAACAAAGCTGGACCTCAGCTACCCTTAGGGTTGGGGTCCTCCTATCTCAGTCTGGAGTATGCCCCCAAAAATCTACATGTTAAAGTCTTGGGTTTCGCTTGGTGCTATTGGGTGGTGATAGAAACTTGGAGAATGGGGCCCAGCTGGAAGTCTTCAGGTTATTGGGGGAATGCCTTTGAAGAGGATTGTGGGACTCTGGCCCCTTCTGTCATTTCTTGTTTATAAAATAAACAGCAACAAAGACAAATAGACTTATGTAAAACAAGATATGAATTTTCAATTGTGTGTGTGTGTGTGTGTGTGTGTGCGTGCATGCCTGCGTGCCTTTCTGTGGGGTGCATCAGGTTGTGGGAATTATGTGATTCCGGTCTTGGAGGGAGAGTTCTGACCCACTCACCAGTCAATACAGCAACAGGTCCTAGACAGCATTTTACAGCCTCCAGCTCAACGCTTCATTGCTTCCGTGGCCTCAGGTGATGAGTGTCTCCTGGCCTGGGAAAGTGACACCACTGACAACACCATGGCTAAGCCTTCAGCTTTCCAGCTGCCTCTAAGGGCATTTGAATCATAGCTGTTTTCCTGTATGATGACTACAGTGACTTCCAGGAGCAGCTGACATACCTAGGCCTCTGCTGCATGACTTGCCAGGGAGTCCTAAGCCTCTTTCACTACCAGGTGTCTTTTGCAGCTGCCTCTGCTTCTAATGGCACCTCTGCCAGGTAATTTGAGCTGCAGCTGCATACCTCCACAGACTGCAGCAACCATACCACCGATACTTCTGCCATGTGCTTGGCAGGGAATCCTAAGCTTCCATTTCCAGGACTGCCAGGCACCCCAGGCAGCCTTCCATAGCTTCATGCAGCTACTCAGTGGAGCGTCTCACATTCTTCCTGGGCCTGGGCGCTGTTCCTCAGCTCTTTAGCATAAGGCTAGCACTCTACCACTTGAGCCACAGCACCACTTCCAGCTTTTTCTGCTTATGTGGTGCTGAGGAATCGAACCAGGGCCTCATGCATGCAAAGCAAGCACTCTACCAGTAAGCCACCTTCCCAGCCCCCTGACTTTCTCTTATGAGCAACTTATACAAAATTTACAGGTCCAAGGAGTCCTGGGACTCCTTGTGCTATGATTTATTTATTACCAGGTTCCCAGAATGATTCAGTCTCCAACAATAGGAGACCATCTCAAGATGGTGTCTCCATGTCACCCTCTAAGGGGAATCACCGAATACCTTTCTTCACCCAGGCTAGCCCTCCATACTAAAACAACAGTGGTGTCACAAATCCCGGTACTGTGGGCCTTTCCTACAGCTAGAGTTGGCAATCTGTTGCTAAGATTGTGTGCTTTATCTTGTAATGGCGTCTTCTACTTCCCTCCCCCAATCAGGGTGTTGGGAATGGGCTCAGAACTCCTCACTGCTTTTCTTCTGCTGGGTTCTCTGCTATTTTCTGCGTCCCTACCACCTCTTTATGGTCTCTGCATCTCTTTTTCTGTTCAGAATCCATCTCTTCTGTATCAACACATTCTTCTCATTCATGGAGTGCAAATGGTAAATGCCTCTAATCTCCCTGCCTTATTGGTTCTTTCCATAACTTTGTGTGTGGCAGTACTAGGGTTTAAGCTCAGGGTCTTGTGCTTTACCATTTGATCTCTTTTTTCCAGTTATTTAACTGACAGTTTTAGCTAACATTTAGTCATGTGAAAATGCATAGGCCTTCTAGTTGAATGTGTTTGCCTTTGTAACCAGCTACTCCAATGAAGATAGGAAATATTTCTGGTTCCCCATCATGTCCCCATCTTCCACTCCTCAGGCAATGGAAGCTACTCTACTCTTTCCATTTCTTTCCCTCTATATTTGACAGTCCTTGAACCTCTTAGAAGTAGAAATGTATGCCCTTTTCCTCCTGGCTTCTTTTGCTCAATGTGATAGGATCATCCACGGTTTTCTGTTAGCAGTTTATTTTTTATACTGCTGAGAAATATATTCCATTTTGTGAATATAGCACAGTTCACCTCCTTGTGAATGCTTGATTCTATCTAGGTTTTTGGTTATTCTAGTTTACCAGTCCTCTTGGTAAAATACCTAGAATTCTGAGATCAACTCCCTCCAGTTGCTCTTTAACCTGGCCTGCAGGGGTGGTGTGGAGCACAGAGAGGGCAGTGGATCTGCAAGGTGGAGAGCTCAACTAGACCTCCCGAGGTCCAGATCTTCACAGTCCACGTTGCCCTGGTTACCAGATACTCCTCCTGCCGCCCTCCCCACCCCCCATCACAAGTAATGGCCTCTTTCCAATTCATACCTTTTGCAGTAACAGTCAAGTGTGTGGTCTTCTGGGAGGGGGAGGGGGACGGAGGGGAAGGAGAAAACAAACTCTAATTCCTCACCTTCTAGGATCCCCACACCACTTAGGATAAAGGCCCACGTCACTATTGTGGCCTACTCTCCCTGCTCTGCTCTCATGTTATTATCCCTGGCTAGAAGCAGGGCTCCAGGCTTTCCCTTACAGATCTCCTCATGCTTCCATTGGCGGCCTCCTGTGCCCCTTGTGAGGTTCACCCATGCTCCTTGGAGGGAGACATCTGAGTTCCAGAGGGTCAGCTGGCCAGCTCTGAGAAGCCAACCTCAGGGTCCTCTGCGTCCACCCCAGCCTGACTTCTCGCTGAGGCCTGAGGTTATGCTATCACATCCTGGCCTTCTCTCAGTGAATGTTGAGTGAGCATCACTATGAAATACAAAAGAGAAAAGCAAGCCTAAAAGCTTGGATACTTAAAAAAATTCATAGCCAGGCACCAGTGGCTCACACTGTAATCAATCCTAGCTACTGAGAAGGCTGAGCTCTAAGGATCATGGTTCAAAACCAGCACAAGCAGAAAAGCCTGTGGGACTTTTATCTCCAGCTAACTACCCAAATGTCAGAAATGGAGCTGAAGCTCAAAGGGTAGAGCATTAGCCTTGAGAAAAAAGCCAAGTGAGGATGCAAAGCTCTGAGTTCAAATCCCAGTACTGGGGCACATGTGTGTGTACATGTGCATGTGTGCATGCATGCACACACACACATCTATGTAAACAAAACATCCTTTTTTTGAGTTTCAGTTTCTCATTTTCCTGTGCCCTCTTTGGTTAGTCAGTGTTGACAACCACGTGTCACCTGTATTTCTGCTCCCCCAAATTGTCTGTGCCTTGAGTACTTAGAGAACCCTGTGTCCTAGGCCCAGCTCTGGACTGGCCCTTTGCAACCACACCTGTCCAGTAGTTTCTGTAGAATGGGCCAAATAATGTTGACATCAACTTTACGTGGTAAATTCCCTTAAAAGGGAATTGTCTTTTCCAAGAAAGGTGGTTATTAACGTGGAAAAAGAAACCATTCTGGAAAGGAGACAAGAAAGACAGTGGGAATATCTTCCTATAAAAGCTGCTGCCCTTGTTCATCCTGAGAGCCACTCTCAAAAGTTATTTCTTTCTTTTCCCTTTGTCCTTCCTTTCGTCCCCTGGCTTTTAAGCTTTGCCTTTTTTCGCCTCTTTTGCTTTCTTGGGAGCCTTAGGTTTTTGGGGTTTCTCCTCTTGGCCTGGGAAGCTTCTTCTCTGAAGACACATGTCAACAAAAGCGAAAAATGCAGCCAGACCCATAAGGACCTAGAAAACAGAAGGGTTCTTATTACTTTGCCTTTTCATTCCCAAAGGGGCACACTTCCTTCTGGCTCTATGATTAGTCAGTAGATGCTGTGAAAAGCATCTCCTCAAACTGGCAGGCTCCAGGGCCTCTTTCATTCCCCGCCCCCCTCATCTCCGCATCCTCCATTCCCCCTCCTCCAGCATCATGAGTCTCATTAAGGCTCAAGCCTCAAGTTACAAGAAGGAAGCTGTTAACCTGGGGTGGACTCCCTGGAGACGTGCTTTTATTTTTGGTTGGTTGTGGGGCTTGAACTCTGGGCCTGGGTGCTGTTCATCAGTTCTTCAGCTCAAAGCTAGCACTTGAGCCATAGTGCCACGTTCAGTTTTCTGAATGGTTTATTGGAGATAAGAGTTTCACAGACTTTCCTGTCCTTAGATCTCAGCCTCCTGAGTAGCTAGGATTACAGGCATGAGCCACTGGCACCTGGCCTAACCTGCTTTTTTTTAAAGTGGCATCTCTACAGAGAACATTTACCAACTTCACTTTTTTTCAGTTTTGCTTGGAGTCCAAGATTTTTGTAAAAAGTGGCACTTGGATTAAACAGAAGAAGAAACATCCCCCCCCCAAAAAAAAACCTTGCAAAAACAAAAAACAAACAAAAAAAACCCAGAGCTCTTAGTTCTTCCAAAGAGGTGAATTCAGAAGGAATCCATAGTCTGGAATAATCTTACCATAGCAATAAAGTAGTTTACTGGCATGGCGGTGCGACTTTCCAAAGCAAAGTATATGCCTCCCACAAGGAACAAACAACAGAACAGGTCATTGATGAAGTCCTGAGAAATGAAAGCAAGGATGAGCTAGTTCTGGCTAGAGTGCTCCATCAGCCTCTCAAACAGCCATTTCATCCAGAGAAAACAACATACATACATACATACACACGTCTGTAAATATTCATTGGCCCACATGGGCATGCTAGTGGTCCTCACTAGTAGATCTTCTTTGAAGATCCAAAGCTCTCCAGGCTGGAGCCTGAAAGAGCCAAGATGTCATTCCTAACATCAAAAGATCACACATCTGTTCATTTAAATAAATACACAACCATTCAACCTTTTTTTTTTTTTTGGTCATTCGTGGGGCTTGAACTCTGGGTTTGGGCACTGTCCCTGAACTCTTTGACTCAAGGCTAGCCCCTCTACCATTTTAAGCCACAGCACCACTTCTGGTTTTCTGGTGATTCAGTGGAAGTAAGAGTCTCACAGACTTTCCTTGTCTAGGCTGGCTTTGAACTGTGATCCTTGGATCTAAGCTTAAAGAATAGCTAGGGTTGCAGGCATGAGCCACCATTGCCTGGCTCATGATGTCCCTTTTGAGTACCTTCCCACATCTACTTTCTGCTCTCAGAGCTCAGTTCCTGTCTGGAGTCCTGGAGGTGGCATTGTTGGCAGGAGGTAATCTTTGGGTCTGTAGCAGGTCCGTTTACCCCAGCTCTTGCCTTATTTCCTGGACCCCCTATCTTCTTTGCAAGGCGGTGTTTTTCAACTTTTTTTCTCCAGTCCTTGGGACCTCATGCTTGTCTTTTCCCACTACTTCTTTCCCTGGCAGCACTGAGAAAATGAACAGCCAGACTTCTCAGAGTTGGCCAAATAATGGCCATGACAAGCCAGCTTCCTTTGCTCTTATATAGCGAGCACAGCATGGGACACATTCCCTCTTCAGAAAGACAGCCAGTGTTGGCCTACAGTGTTTGGTCACACTGTTCCCCCCTTGGTTCCCATGATGCCATTTTTCTCTGAGTTGTCCTTTCAGGGGCCTAGTCTTTTCTCTATTGCTTTCTGAGTTTGGATATGCTTCAGACTTGCCAAAAATGATAGAATAGCACCCCTCTCCAGGTTTCCAACCACTGAAATTTAACAGATGTTAAGGACTTCAGATCTCAAGTGAAACTTTCTGGAATGAACTCGTCTTACCTCGCTATCCCTTTTCCTGTCCCTCTGTCTCAGTCTCCTTTTCTGGCCCTCC